GAGAAATGCCAAACATGTTGTAATGGTTAGGGTTCTGTAGTTAAGGTCTACTTATTCCCATGGTTATGAAACCTAATACAGGCACAGTTTACTCTATGATGAGTGGCTATGGGCAGCCAATCAATTAAAGGGAAACTTCCTTGTGGGTGTGGTCTGTTTCCAATGTAACAAACATGCAGGAGGGGTTCCCTCTCTCTTTCTATCTCTTCCCTGGAGACCTGGGATTCTATAATTGTAAAATATATATATATATATATATATATATATGTATGTATGTATATATATAGTTGTTGTTGTTGTTATGTGCCATCGAGTTGGTACTGACCCAACCTTTTGCACAGCAGAACGAAACACTGCTTGATCCTGGGCCAACCTCACTACTGTTGCCACACTTGAGTCCATCGATGCTGCCACTTGGCCAATCCATCTCATTGGGGTCTTCCTCTTTTTCTCTGACCCTCCACCTTACCAAATGTGATATCCTTCTCCAGTGATTGGTCCCTCCTGACACTATGTCAGAAGTATGAGAGATGAAGTTTGGCCATCTTGGCCTGCACTTCTTCCAGAATGGATCTATTGGTTCTTTTGGCAGCCCATGGCACTTTCAGTATTCTCCTCCAACACCATAACTCAAAGGCATCAATTCTTCTATGGTATTCCTTATTCACTGTCCAGATTTCACATGCATATGAGGTTATTGAAAATACCAGGGTTTGAGTTAGGCACACCTTAGTCCTCAAACTGATGTCTTTGTTCTTCAACACTTTAAAAAGGTCTTGTGCAGCAGATTTACCCAATGCAAAATACATCATTTGATTTCTTGACTGCTGCTTCCGTGAGTGTTGATAGTTGATCCAAGAAGAATGAAGTCCTTGACAACTTCAATCTTTTCTCCATTGATAAGAATGTTGCTTACTGGTCCAGTGGTGAGGATTTTTGTTTTCTTTATATTGAGATGCAATCCATATTGAAGGCTGTGGTCTTTGATCTTCATCAGTAAATGTTTTAAGTTCTTCACTTTCAGTAAGCAAGGTTGTATCATCTGTAGATAGATAGATAGATAGATAGATAGATAGATAGATAGATAGATGTTTCACTGGTTTTGCTGTTCTAAAAAACCCAACTTAAAACACGTGTTCGTCCATTTTGGTGTTCCAACTCCAGGTTTTTACCCATGTCCTTATATTCTTTACTTTGTTGTCTCAATCCTCCCACTGAAATCTTGTGGTCAGCTGTTCTACTTCATCATTTCCTCCATTCACTTTAGCTACTCTACACTTAAGAGCAAGTTTCAGAATCTCTTCTGATATTTGTCTTTTCTTTCTTTCCTGTCATTTTAATGACCTACTGCTTTCTTTTTGTATGTCTTTGATGTAATTCCACAACAGTTTGGTCTTCAGTCATTAGTGTTAATATGTCAAATCTGTTCTTAAGACAGTCTCTAAATTCAGATGGGATGTAGTCATGGCTGTATGGTGGCTTTCATGTTTTAATTTTCTTCAGCTTCCATTTAAATTTAAATCTAAGAAATTGGAGGGCTCTTCTGAAGTTAATTCCTGGCCTTGTTATGACTGATGATACTGAGCCTCTCCATCATCTCTTTTCAAAATGTAGTCAGTTCGGCTCTTGTTTATTCCATCTGCCAAGGTCCATGTGTTTAGGTGCCATTTATGTTGGTGAAAAAATGTATTCCAATGAATAAGACACTGGTCTTTCAAACTCTATCATTTGATCTCTGGCATCATGTCTATCATTAAATCCACATTTACTAATCCTTCTTCTTTGTTTCCAACTTTCACATTTCAATCATCAGTAATCATCAAATACATCAAGCTGCAGAAGTTAATAAAATTCTTCAATTTCTTAATCTTTGGTATTACTCCTTGGATAAATTTGAATAGTCCTACTAACTGGCCTTCCACATAGGAGTATGGATATTATCTTACCACTGACAACAGTGTAAATGCAGGATAAATCTTGAAATTTTATTTTTGACAATAAGTGTGACACTGTTCCTTTTCAATTTGTCATATTTGGCATAATACACCATAGGACTGTTGATTCAAAATGGCCAATCCCAGTCCATTACAACTCACTAATGGCTTGGATATGAATTTTTAAATGTTTCATTTCATTTTTACAACTTCCAATTTTCCTAAATTCACACTTCTTACCATCCACATTTCAATTATTAATACACTGTAACATGTTCCATCAGCAGAAATTCTCTTTTGATTACTTCTATTTTCTCAGGAAAATAAGAAGTAAGGTCATAAAGAGAGTGATGATGGAAAACAAGTACTGAAAGTTTGAGGAGAACAGAACCCATGTGAAATAGTCATCTAGAGAGTTGGGAGACTGCTTGGGCTAGTCGGATGGACAACTTGGGACTGGTGATTATGAATTTAAAACTGTAAGATTAGACATACGGGGAAAAGGGCATGACAGGTAGTGAAAAACCAATAGCCTCAATGGGCTGTAAACTCTTGGCAACGTCAAAGAATTGCCAAAGTAAGATTATTAGAGAGGGTAAGCTAGAAAGATTGGTAGTAGTTGAAGAATAAGACCTTTATAAAGGAAATTAAAGGTAATAACATTAGGAATGAGGGCCTCAAGCAAGATGAAAATGAAGATCTTTGGATGAAAGATCAAGAGGGTGAGAGGCTGGGTATTAGAGGAAGCATTTACAAAATCAGAAAACTACTTAACTAACCGTATGCAGGGAAGAACAACCAATGAGCCAGAAGCTAAATTATTTAAGGCACACAAATGTGGTCTGAAAAGCACAAGACACACAAAGGTAAAGTAATGGGCAGTATCACTTGATGACAGGAGATTCAAAGCTGGTCATCTGAGATAGGACGGAGGGAGTATGGGCTGGGTACGGAATAAGAAGCAAAGACGATAACTATCTGTCTTTCAGCCCAGCAGCCCTGGTCTATGGAAACAGAAACAGTCCAGACCTAAAAGGACTGCAGTGGAAACAAGGAAGCAGTTAGAAGGGGAATCTGCCTCTGGGCCCACATGCAGGCTCATACAGCTGTTAATGGCGGTCGGTAGGTAAATGAGTGTTCTCATTAAGACCGCACAAAAACTCTAAATAGTTGTATATAGTGGTCTACACTCACTAGAGTGAAGACCTTAAGTTCATAGCCAAAAATGAAGTATCTTATTCTATCTAAATAGCCACCGTAGGGTGTATGTTTATAGATAAAATTTAAACCAACACTAACTAAGGTACAGTTGTTTGAGAATCTCACAAGAGAAACTTTTTAAATGGAAGAAAAATAAAAAGATACTAGAAAAACAAAGAGTATTTAATAGTATAATATAGATATAGGTTTCCCCAGTTACCTCTTATAACAGATAATCATCTCTTTCAGAATTATAGAAGTCAACAAAATTCTCATTTCTCAGGATGCATTATTTGGAAAAGACTCCTCAGATAGTTTACTTTATAACAGCAAATATACATAT